CCTCCTCCTCCTCTTTGTATTCCATTAGGAAGGAGGAAGTTCCACTAATATAGCTTTTTTCTGAGAACCACTACTTTGTGAAACAGACTCCCAAGAGTAAACAAGGGGCAAACTTCTACTCCTGTTCAAAAGACCGGGAAGGAGTGTGAACCTATCTACACCTAAAGCAAACATAAAATAGGTTGTTTTCATTTATTTTAGAAATGGACATAAACAATTTTTTTAAATATATTTAAATTTTTATAGAACTCTATAATTTTAGGCCCAATCACAATCTTATTCATTCATAGTAACCCTTGTTGTCATCTGCCATTTCACATTACTACAATTTAGTTGAACAGACAAAAGTACAGAATTATCTAAATAAGGCAAAATAATTTTAGATTTTCTTAAAACTACTGAATTATTTAAAAAGTTGAAAAAGTAGTAAGTTGACTGAATTCATTTTCATTATTATTATTAATGCAAATATTATTATTATTATTAATGCAAATTATTATTATTAATGCAAAATTATTAAAATGTTTCTCTCATCATCATCTCAATGTAACTATGTCCAGCATCAGAAAATTTAAGTGGACTTAGCATAATGACAAAAATAGAAAATAGATGTCTTTGTTGAAAATGAAAGATGAATAGATGTCTTTATTGAAAATACAGAAATTCCATAACTTCACTACACAACTTACCCTTCTCTGTTTGTGGGATGGGTATTTAGCTAGTACAGTAAATCTACACAATATACAGTAACTTTTGACAACTGCCTACCTTTTACAAAAGCTTTCTGCATTTTATATGATACTCTATGTAATCAATAAAATGTATGAAAGTTTTGACATATTTAAGAATTGTAATGCATCTTTACTGTAAAATAATTTCCAATGAATTTCTATGCTTGCTTTTAAGTACTTGCAATGTGTCACTATACAAAGTGCGATGTATAAATTGTCTCCTAAATTACACAAAAATGAAAATAACACTGACATCTCATTTTAACAAATATATTTACCAAAATTACACAAAAATATCTTGAAATACTAAAGAGTAAATTCACTCAATGAAATTGCCATTGGCTTCAATCATGGACTCAGGACAACTTCAAAATCTCCTGCATCTCTTCTGGATGGTCTCTTTGTTTAAGTTGGTGAATGCTGACATAATCCTTACCTTCAGTTCATCTTTGGTATTACAAGGAGTTTTGTTGGTCTCTCCCTTGACTCTACCACACAAAGTAGGGTTGCACTCTGGGGAGATCTCATCAATTTACAGTTAAGCTGGCTAAATGAAGCCATAAATTCTATGCTTACAGTTTCTTCTCTCACACATCTCACTTGTGGAAGTTTGTTCCAGCTCCATGTTTTCCAGCAAATGCAATGTCAATTGCTATCTACTGTCCACCTGATTACTCTCTTCACTTTCTGTTCATCATTTAATGTTTCTGTTCCTAATTCCTCCACACCCTGTAACCCCTTATGTTTTAATGACATTACTGCCTTGCTTGGGGTGATTTTGTAAAAATCAAATAATTGTTGGATTTATTCACAAATAAATGAAATTATTTTTTAATTTTTTTATTAGAAAGTTTTGATCACCCTCTTAATTTTATGAAAACTTGAGAAATTCAATGTGATAATTTTTAATGACTATATTAGTTAAAAGCAGAATTTTTTGAAGAATTTAAATCGCTGAAGTTTTTTCAATATCAGACCCTGTCTTACTGAAAACTTGTTCTGAATCAAAAAATGAAAAAACGCAATAAGACATTATTTAATTAGAGAAGCTTTTAATTGCTTTTATGAATAATATATATTAAAGATAATATTGTCTAAAGAAAACAAATTTTTTCAATGAAAAATGAATGTTTATAAAATTTTTCATTTTTTACAATTTTAAATTGAATAATTTATAAAGTTTTTAAATCTTTTAAAAATCAGTTTCAATGTGATAATTCTTATGAAATATTGTTAAGTAAAACTATATTTACTTGTCATATATTGTAAAGCATATTACAATCTGGCAACCCCAAATATTTTTAAAAGAATTTCAATTTGTTTTTGTATGTGTGATATATGGTCAGAATTTCTAAGTATGGATGTTCAAACCAATAAATAATTCATTAAAAGGTCATGTGTTTCAAGAGTTGTCTCCCTTTATGGGGGGGGGAAACCCTTATATAAACTTTATCGTCTGCTCCACCATACTTAACTATGAACACATTTGACTGCCATTCAGCTGTCAATAATCGATTAACATGTCAGAAAAACAAAACTCCGTGGTTAAGAAATATTTGTATAAAACATTTTATGCTATAAGTAATATTTTTTTCAAATCAGATTAATTTAACTAAGTTTTCAAATTTTCCTCAAATAACGTTTCAGAAATATATATTTTATTTTTGCAAGATTTTTAAAACTGAGAATTAACTTTTGTTTACAAAAATGTCAAAATGGCTGTTTTCATCGATTTTACTGAAAAATTGATTCCAATCAATATAATTTCTGTTTGAAATACACCAGAGTATTTTGCTTACTGGAAATTTTAAATTTTAAATCCTTTAGCTTTCAATTAAAGCTAAAATGAAAGCTTCAAGAAAGCTTTTTCATTTTTAAAAAATCATTTTAAACCTTACATATACAGAATTCATGGAGGTACATTCCTTTGTAGGTCTTAATAAATTTTGTATTTTTGTTATCTCTCTTAAACCTTTCATCATTATTTACTCTAGAAATTTTCATCTGTCCCTTTCTGATGTTAAGTATCATTTTTGTTTCCATTTTTTTTCTAAAACTGTCCTTGCTTGCATGTTCAGTCCAGGGTATTCCCCACATCATTCTGAAGAACCACATTTCTATTGCTTCAAGTCTCTTCTTCATCTTTGAAGAATACAGTATCTATAAGACCTGGTATAGGAGTGATTATACAAAATATGTTCAGCAAGTCCCATACAAGTCCCATATAGAAGCAATTATATATTTTTGTAAAACAAAATCACATCCAAAGGAGTGTTATTAGGACACACATTGCTCCATGCCTAATGGCAGTCAAATTGATGTTTTTAATAACAAGGTGTTGGTCTTTTTTTTCCTGGTTGCCATTTCTTTCTGTGGTAGGCCAGTTGCCATCCAAGGCTATAGAACCCGGTCTGTCCTGCTATTTACCCATAGCTGGAGGAAGAAGAGGATTCATACCTTTCCCAAGGGTATTAGCATGTAAGTGAATGTAATGGATTTGACTGGAATTCGAACTTGGCTCTCCAATTCCTCAATCCGACCCACTATCCATTACTCCACCATGCCTACGGAAACAGTGTGAACAATAAATGAGCAGTACTAAATAAGAACAAGATATTTATAGATATAAATAGTGAAATAAGACCAAAAGGGCTAGAAGGATCGACAGCCAAAATATTGAGATGATAACAACAAAAATGAGGATATTAGTCTGAATGTTAAGAATGTAAATAAGGGGATGTTTATTATTTTTATCATTACTGTTTACTAGCACCTGTAAAATGACAGTTTGAAAAATTGGAATAAAAAGCAACTGAAATTAAGATAAAAGAAATATTACTAGTCAATAATTAATACTTCTCATTTTTCTTTTCTTTTTTTTTTTTTTTAACAGGATCAGCATCTTGCTTAGCTGCTGAGAATTTATCAGTCGTATGCTGTGACGGCCTTTCCATACAAATCTACTCCTCAGCTAAGAGGAGTTTTAGAAGTATGCATTCTGTAAAGTCGATTCAATCAATGTGGAAACAGTTTGAATTCTGTGGCAAGACGTACCATCGCAATGATCACTGGAAGAGAAATAGCAGCCTCAGTGACATGGATAATTATGATGAGAAACATGAACCAGTGTCTGATGCTCTGCCTGAACCAATGCCTGATCCTGACGGCAATGCCCACCAGCACTTGATCAACAGTGAAGATGAAACCACTGTTCCAGACTCAACAGAGGCTCTACAAGGTATCGAATGTACACACGAGAATTGTAGTAGTAGTGATGCTGGCGGTTATGTCAGCGGCAATAATGATCCTGATGAGACATGTGTCACCACAACAAGCCACTTCAAGTCACTAGAGTGCAGCCATTGTCCAAAAATGTTTTCACAGATGAGCAACCTGCGAAGCCACATGCGTACACACTCTGGTGAGAAACCCTTCAAATGCACCACTTGTCTTAAGTGCTTCAGTCACCAGACAATCTTGAAAAACCACGAGCGTGTGCACTCAGGTGAGAAGCCCTTTCAGTGTGCAATCTGTTTGAAATCCTTCAGCCAGCAAACAAACCTGCGGAACCATGAACGTACACACACTGGTGAACGGCCTTACGAATGCAACATCTGCTTCAAATCTTTCTCTCAGCAAACAATCCTCCTTAACCATCAGCGTGTTCACACAGGAGAGAAACCATTCACCTGCAGTGTCTGCCAGAAGTCTTTTAGCCACCAGACAATCTTGAAAAACCATGAACGCGTTCACACTGGTGAAAAACCTTACAAATGTCCAATATGTTTTAAAGCATTTAGTAACCAAACCATCTTAAAAAACCATGAGAGAGTTCACTCTGGTGAAAGACCGTTTCGTTGTGCCATTTGCCTGAAAACGTTCAGCCAACAGACCAGCTTGAAAAACCATGAACGTATCCACACAGGAGAGAAGCCATACACATGTACGATCTGTTTGAAATCTTTTAGCCACCAGACCATTCTGAAGAACCATGAACGGGTGCATTCTGGTGAGAAACCATTCAAATGCCCAACATGCGCCAAAGCTTTTAGTCACCAGTCAATCTTAAAGAATCATGAGCGAGTTCACACAGGTGAGAAACCATACGAGTGCCATGTCTGCTTGAAGAAGTTCAGTCAGCAAACAATTTTGAGGAACCACGAAAAGACGCACGCCGGAGAGATGCTTTACGAGTGCAGAAATTGTGGTAAGGAATTTCAGCACAAGATCGATCTGAGGGAGCATGAAATACAGCACAGGCAAGAGGAAATGGAGCAAGAGGAAGTGGAGATGGAGGCTCAGCGCCGAGAAGAGGCTAAGCAACGTGAGGAGGCACAACGTCAGCAGTTATCACGGCAACAGTTACCACGGCAACAGTTACCACGGCAACAAGTGTCGCAGCAACAGTTGTCCAGACAACAGTTGCTATCCTCCCAACTGCATCTGTCACAGCAAGAGCAGCCATCTCCACAACAACAGTTACCACAGCAACAGCCATCACCATCTCAGCAACTGTTATCAAGGCAACAGCGTCAAGCCCCACATCACCTGCCAAGACAGCAACACTCTTCATCGCATCAGCAGTTGGCACGGCAACAGCAAATGTCACCACAGCATCAGTTACCAAGGCAACAACCATCACCCCATCAAAATTCGACTCAGCATCAACTGTCACCGCAGCAACAGTTGTCAGGGCAACAGCTAGCATCCCAACAACATTTACATAGACAACAGCCCTCACCACACTCACAGTTACCCAGACAACAGCAACAGCCTTCTCCCCACCCACAGTTAACAAGACAACAGCAACAACCCTCTCCCCTCCCACAGTTAACCAGGCAACAGCAACAGCCCTCTCCCCTCCCACAGTTAACCAGGCAACAGCAGCAGCCCTCTCCCCACCCACAGTTAACCAGGCAACAGCAGCAGCCCTCTCCCCACCCACAGTTAACCAGGCAACAGCAGCAGCCCTCCCCCACCCACATTTAACCAGGCAACAGCAGCAGCCCTCTCCCCACCCACAGTTAACCAGGCAACAGCAGCAGCCCTCTCCCCACCCACATTTAACCAGGCAACAGCAGCAGCCCTCTCCCCACCCACATTTAACCAGGCAACAGCAGCAGCCCTCTCCCCACCCACAGTTAACCAGGCAACAACAACAACCCTCTCCCCAAACACAGTTATCTCGGCAGCAACAGCAGCCATCTTCAAACCAGCAGTTGCCCCGGCAACAGCAACAACCATCCCCTCATCCACAGTTAACCAGGCAACAACAGCCACCCTCTCCCCATCCACAGTTACCCAGGCAACAACACCCACCATCTTCACTCTCATTGATATCCCAGAACCAAAATCCACAACAACATTCACATCTCTCACAACCACACCTAGGTACAAATACTCGTCTGCAATCTCATTCGCGCCAATCACGAAGCCAACAGTCTTCACGGCATCAGTCATCACGGCAACTTTTACGTCAGTCAGGGCAGCAAACTTTGCTACCATCAACATCATCTTCAATCTCATCACTGGTGCCCCCACCAACTACATCGTCTCCGTTTGCATTATCAACAATACCACCATCACCCCCATCATTTCCCTTCTCATCAACTCCTATCCCTCCAGCATGGAGACCACCAACTTATTTGCAGCCAATGCCAGCCCAGCACTGGGACAATAATTACGAATGGACAGGTCCCTTTAAAGTGTCATCTCGCATGACACCTTGGATGAAGTGCACCTCATTTCATGGCAAAACATGAACTGCATTCTGTCTGAATTTCTGGGAGGAGGACTTGTCATTATTAACAATGGCTGAAGTATTGTGATAACATTTTGGCCATTGTGCTCTTCAGCCTTCATCAGGTGTATGTTAACTTGGGTTACCTACAAGGAATTCCAAAATTAACTCTTTATTTTAATCCATACTCAAGAAATCTGAAAAAACAGTTTATATCACTGAGATCCCTGAAGTGGTTTATCAATATCTGTCTGAATTTCTTGAATGAGGACATCATTGCTATTCACTTTATTTACATGTAGGCTATTGTCTTCATCTTTTGTTGTTGTTATCACAGCGTTTCAGCTGTTGTGCTCTCCAGCCTTCATCAGGTGTATATCTTCAGGGAATTCCAAAATTAACCCTTTATTTAATCTATACTTGAGAAGACTAATTTCTTGAAAAACAGTTTTAAGAAAAAGAATTTCAACTGAGAGTAACACTAAATCTTCAGTCAATGAATGTTTCCTGTATGGAAATGGCTAATTTCACAATTACCATTACTGTAGATTTTTCATTATTAATTTATTAAATTAACCCTTTATTTAATTTATGGCTGTAGGCAGTTCTCATTCAACTGGCCATGGCTAAGGATATCTTGTTTAGTTCTTAATTTTAGTACTGCTCAGTTATTACTGTTTCCACTGAGTTCAAATACATACTGCTTGACCCAGAGATTTAACTCTCAATTACTATTCTACTAAGTTCAAGAACCAACACTTTAATCTCCATTGTCCTGTGGATTAAATAAAGGGTTCAGAATTTTCTGTAGTTATTTTTTTCCTACTAATGTTTACCCAATACAAGGCCCAATGACCAATCAAGTTAGAGGGTTACTGTGTGGTGTTGTATTAACATAAGGAAGGGCAAGAAGTGAAGTTCTTGGGACTGTGCAGGAAAGATAACAGCTACTTCTAGACTTGAAGAGGTCATGATTTAATTAGTGAATAAAATTTCAGAGTTCAGGTGGACATGTTAGAAGTATTGAGTTTAAGTAGACTTTAACCCAGAATCGACTTACACCTGATGAAGGCAAGGGGACACAACAGCCGAAATGTTGCAATAAAAAAAATAAAAATGAGAACAATAATTCACATGTAAATAGTGTAAATAATAATAAACTGTATTGTTAAAATTTTTTTTTTTTTTAAATGTTTTCACTTGACCAAATTATAATCTATTCGACAGTCTCTTTATGTCTCCATTAATTCTAAGACTACTGGTGTTACAAAATCACAAAGAATTTTATCAAATAACAAAACCGACATCACTCAAAGACTTTCAAAAGCAGCAACAACAAAAATGGGTAGTACATGTGACTAGAAGTGAAGATAGTAATATATAATTAAGATGTTGACTTTTCTACCTGGAACAAAGATTATGAAGGAAACTTCCATCACTACTATAAAAAGTGATATCTTTTAATAGACCTGAGAAGTCTAATCTCCTGAAAAATGGTTTTAAGAAAATACGTTTATATATTTCAAATGAGAGTAACACTAACTCCTCGGTCAATGAATGTTTTCTGTATGGAAAAAGCTAACTTCGCTATTACTATTATTGTAGTTTTTTTTTCTTATTTTTTGTGGGGTGGCGTTAAAATACAAAACATTATAGGATTGGAAAAAAAAATGCCACAAATGGTTTACTTTAGCCAGACAGCCAATCAAGCTGCAGATTTGTCCAGAATTCAACCAATCAGATTCATTTTTTTCTTCACTTTGACCCAAGAAATTAAGCTAAAAAATGATTCCATATGTGATATTTAATCTTTTATATTTTAGTATTTTTTTTAATAATTGTAATTTATTATGTAACCTGTGATACCGCAAGTAGTATTTATGAAACAAATATATCAAAATTTTCCCTCATTCTAATGGTTACATACAGTGACTGAATTTGAACTCTGTATAGATGAGGTTTCATTTTCTTAATGCCTACTGACTTTATTGCTACTTCATTACTCTCTCACTTAGAATTAGTTATTTTCTGCACAAACACAATAAACTGGGGAAAAATTTATTAAACACCAAATTTTGTGATTTTTTTTTCTTTTGTGCTATTACTGAGATTAACTGGTCCACCCATAAAAAAAAAAATAGGGAAATTTTTTTTTTTAAATGCCATTCTAGACAATTTAAAAAAAAAAAAAAAATTTTTAATATTTTTAGTTTTTTTAAGAAGTAAAATACAATGTAATTTTTTTTTTTAAATATTAAAAAAAATATGGTGTGCTAGACAATTTTTTAATATTTTAAAATTTTTAAGAAGTAAAACACAATGGAGTAAAATAGTAAATTTTTTAAGAAGTAAAATAAAATATAATTTTTAAATTTTTTTAGAAGTATTTAAAAACAAAAAATACATGCTGTACTTGACAATTTTTCTCACCAAGATCTGTTCGTGCATTGGATATTGTTGCTACATCTGGTCTGGTGCTTCTGCTATATATCTTGAGATTCTGCACAAAATCCAAAGATGAATCTGCAATATTATCAGCTCTAGCCTAGCATTTCAGCTTCAGTCACTTTCCCACCTCTGTAATGTAGCTTCCCTGTGCCTTTTCTATAAATATTTTTGTGACAACTGATCTAATTAGCTTTCCTCTTTGAAACCTTGACTTCATGAATTTAAGCCGAGTAATAAATTGACAACAAGATCTCATCATTTACCGTTCAGATTGCTAAATGTAACAAGTTTTATTCTAATTTTGTTTTTTCTCACCTGTGAAATTCTCTTCTAATTTCATGCAAATACAATATGAGTCAAATACAATATGAAAAAATTTAAATGCAGCATCAATCATCATCTGTCGCTTAAATCCTGTTTTGTTTTTTTGGGGTTTTTTTTTTTTCTTTTTTATTGTCCTTTCTCCTCAGTAACATTTTCTCATTTTCCTTTACTCTATTGTCTTTCATCCTTGGCACAGTATGGGACATTTCATTACTGCTGACTCAACACCAGCCAACACAACTCTGTGACAATTCAATTCCAGGACAACTCACCACCAACCTACTCAGCACAGGCATCGAATTCATAGCTTCAGACCGGTATTGGTTGCCGTAGTGTGCACATCTCTTAGATTGGTTTTGAGTCATAGAGATTTTGAAAGTTTGGCTGTTTTCACGATTTATTAATTACAAAAGCCTATTTTGGCTGACTGGTATTTAATTTTCAAGATCGGACAAATAACCATGCTGAAGCATCAAATAGAAGATTACTCACAGAGATGGGGATTTGAGAACCCAACAATATGGAGATTTGTTACGGGGATGCAAAAGGTGCAAAGAAACTAAGATGTATTTTTTTTTTTTTTTTAGCAATTAATTGGGAGTCTTCCTTCTCTCCCTAAAATGAAAAAGTCTCTGGAGGCAAATGAAAGAATTTTGCAGATTGTTTTTTTTTCTTTTTCATAATGGTCTCCAATTGAATATTTGAGGGGAATTGCATACAATTTTCAATAAATTTTTAAATTAAAAAATCATGTATTAAAAAATGATCCTTACTGTTATATTCCATGCTAATAGGAATATATACTTGCAAAACAAGGTGGATAAAATAAGTAAAGGTTTATTGTAAAAAAACCAGTACAATAAGAATAAAGGTAACAGTTATGCACAAGGTTGTCGCAAGTCAATCCAGTAGTGAGTGCTACTATTGGAAGGTCAGTCGTTCTCATGTAAGTCTGAGTCATACTCAACAGATCCCAGCTGGTCTCTGTTGACTTACAGATACTTATAGATAGTTACTACCTATAGTGTAGTCACTCATGGGAGTGACAGGTTATTCCATTACATCACTTACTAAATTACTTTAATTTATTTTTAAAAATTCAATGAAAAAAATTTCATAGTTTGCCTGTCAGTGAGTTGTCCATGCACTGAGTAAGCTGGTGGTGAGTCTTGTGTCTTAGTGGCTTTATCACCTTATTTTGGGTGAATACTCCTCTACCCATGACATTTATTAGAATCGAAAAATATAGATTATTTTTAATCATTTTAGAAGGGAGGTCCTGTTCACAATATAAATACAGTGTCAAAAAAAAAGACAAAATTTATTAAGAGCAACAAAAGACAGGAAGTTATATAGAGCCATGATCGCCTATGTCTTGAAGAGTGAAGTGAAATTGATTCCAGACTTCTTAAAAAGATATATATACAATTATTTATTTATTATTAATCATTTCTCTCCAAGTAAGGCAATAACGTCACTAAGACACAAGGTGTTACTGGGAGTAAAAGCAAATGAGAAAACTTTAGGAGAAAGGACAATAATAAAAAAAAAAAAAAACTGGTTTCAGGAAGACAGAAGATTGCATTTAAATTTTTGAAGATTGTAGGTTGCAAAAAAGCAAGAAATTGGAAAAAGAGTTCTACAAGTGAGAAATGTGAGAAAATAAACTATTAGAATAGAACATGCTGTTTCTTCTAACTAGGTCGACAGTAAAACAGTGAGACTTAGTTGCATGTTAAAATTTATGTGATTGAGAAACCAAGGAGAAAAGCTCATCAGAACAATGGTCATGTGAATATTTGTAGAAAAGACATACAGAAGTCATGTTAGGATAGTGGAAAAGTAACTGATGTCGAAATACCAGATCAGGATTGATTCTATTAAACCTCCTTTTGATTTTGCCAAAGATCTCAAAATATATATTATGACCACCAGACCACATATGGCAGCAATATTCAATATACGAATGAATGATAGATTTATAAATTTTTAATATAAATGTTGACTTTGTACTTATGTCAATGATAGCTGTGTACTACTATAAATTGGGGGAAAATACAACAATAGTATGCAGTTATCAGTGACCTAAGCTATGTCAAACTTGAAATTTTGTAAATAAAATCAAAGTACAGATAACTCTGTAAGAAATCAGGATTGACATGGCACAGTATTTTTATTATGAACAGCTGTCCTCCTCTAAAATGACAAAAAAAAATCAATATTTTTCAATTCTGACATATGTTGTGACTT